CTTAAACCATTTGGAAAACCCTGGATTTTGAAGTGCTCAGGACCTCAGTCCAGGAGACTCATATTTTCGGAGTGGCAGGTGGATCTACAGAACCATAAAGTTTATTATAAGAGCAGCAGTAGATTTAGGGGCCCAGATTCTGGGTGTGGAAGTGTAATGATCCGAGTTCTGCATCCAAGGCTTCTATTTCAGGGACATAAGAACTTGGAGGTCGGCATCTTGGCCAGGGTGGCGTAGGGATCAGGGAGACTCGCTACCTATGGTGATGGCACTTCAGGGGACACTGGGTCTTGGGCTGCAAAGGCCTGACTTGTGGTTTGGGCACATGGGGCTTTGCATTGAGGGTCAGTCCTATCCCCGTTTCTCTTCACCCTGGGCCTCTCCTTTCTTCCCCTTTTAGATCAAGTCTCTCTGGGCTGCAGGCCCTGCCCACCTGGCTTCAGGACCTGGGAATGGGTCCAGAACAACCAACACTGGGTGCTCCTCCCCTGCAGGGCTCCTGGTGTGGAAGGACGTGTCCAGCTCCCAGCAGCAGGGTGGGGTCGTAGGGGACCGGAGACTTCATAAGCCTGCTCAGGGAGTTCCTCAGTCCGGAGCTTGCCACCTGCCCCTGGATGCCTCTGTCACCATGTGGTTCCTGGTTCTGTTCCTCGTCCTGTCCCTGTGGGGGACTGGTGAGACAGTGGGGAATCCAGGAGGGGTAGGGGCCTTGACTCTCACCTCCCTTGAGTCCTTCCTCCCCCACCCAGCCCCCAGCCGGACCCTCCAGGTTTGTCCCTATTTCTCACAGTCCCACATTTAATCCTGCCTCTGAGCCCTCTGTGTGGCCAAATCCGTCACAGTCCTCATTCCCACACCAGGTCCCTGCTCCCTCCCAGGAATCCCTCTTCATGGGTTCTACTCCCTGCCGCCAGCCACTTTTCTAAAGGGACAGATCCCGGACCATCCCTGTCTCTCTGTCTATTCCAAGGACCTCTCTCAACGACGCTTGAGATCCCGGTCTCCCTCCCAACCCCCTAAATGCTGCTGATCCACCCCCCGAGCAGTGAGCCCTTCACCAGAGCCCCCTCATCCTGCTCCTAGGAAACTCAGATTCCATCAGGACCCCTGCTTATTCCCAGAGCCAGGCTTCCTGGCCTGAGGCAGCAGAGAATCTCCCAACCTGGCTGGAGTTCTGAGAATTTCCCCTCTTCCCTGACTCTGCCCAGCCTCTCAGCGGTGGCTGGCCTGTTTCCAAGGTGGAGGGCTGGGCAGGCAGCACCACCAGCCACAGCTGCCCGTTACCCAGAGCACACTCCCGAGATCTGCATCTTTTCAAATCTCCAACCATTCTCCCAGCCTGGGACCCTCAAGCCTCCCAAACCTCCTCTCCCACGGGGAGCTTCTCCTTGGTTTCTAGAAACCCCTGCCCTCCCAGGACCCACGCCACCATCTCCCAATCTCCGCCCCCCATCACCCTTATGTCCAGACCCCAGGCCCACTGCCTGCTCCAGATGCTGTGTTGGCCCTCCTGCCCGAGCCCGGGGTCTGTCCTGCTCCCTAGTCGGAATACCCTTCTACAAACCCAGGGAAGGGTCTCAACTCCAGTCCCTTCTCAGCACCCCTTGCCCATGCCCCCGAGTGCCCAGGCCTGGTCCTCTGCCCCCTCAAGCCCACAGCACAGCCCCTTCTTCCTGCCCTAGCCCTGCCGGCTCCCCCTCTCTGCAGGTGCTGCGCCCCCCATCCAGTCTCGGATCATAGGGGGCTGGGAGTGCCAGAAGAATTCCCATCCCTGGCAGGCGGCCGTGTACCATCATGGTTTAGCAGTGTGTGGGGGCGTCCTGGTGCACCCCCAGTGGGTCCTCACTGCTGCCCACTGCTTCAGAAAGTGAGTAGGGGCCTGGGCATGTCGGTCGGTGGCAGAGCACCTCCCCTGGCATGCGCAAGACCCGGGTCCCATCCTCAGCAGCTTGTCCAAAAGAAGTGAGTGGGGCCTGGGAGTCTGGGAGGGGGCTTCTGTGCCCCACGGGGATTGACAGCTGGGCATTTCCCCCACGCGAGGCGTGGGACTGAGAGGGAGAGGACGGTGCTGATCCAGGTGGCCTGGGGAGGGGCAGAGCCAGGCTGGACCACCCTGTCCATGGCTGCCCGGCCCCTTTCTCCATCTCTCCCCACGGAATTGTCTCTGTGCCTCTCAGAATCTGGCTGCTCCGTGTGGGGCTGGGTTCTGGCCTCTGTCTTCCTTTCTTCTCTGTCTCTGAGTCTCTGCCACCATCTCAGGCACTGCGTGTCTCCCCCTCCATGTCTCCACGCCTCTCTCTCTCTCTCTGGGTCTCTGGCTCACTCCTCTCCCCCATCACTACTGGCCCCATTCCTAGGGGGACCCCGAGAACAGGCAGGCATGCACCCCAACCTGTGTGCCTGGGAGGGGGCTTCCCGCTCTGCCCTGCCCCTCCCTGTGTGACCACCAGTCCCCTCTGGGGGAGACACAGGGAAGGGCTGGGGGGCCCACTGAGGGAGGGGGTGGGTCCGACCTTGGGCTCTGTGCCCGGCTGCCTGCCCTGCTGGGCCCTGGCCAGCCGCTTCCTCTCTGCTCCCTCTTCTCTCTTTTTACCCCTGTGCCCCTGTCCTTCTCGCTTTCTTCCTCTCCTTGGGGACCCTCTTGGGCTCCCCGCCCCTCCTCTCCTCATTCTCTCCCTCCCTCTATTTCCCTAGCAATATCCGGGTGGCTCTGGGTCGTCACAACCTGGGTGCCGAGGAGGACACATCCCAGCTGGTCCCCGTCAGCTACGCCTTCCCCCACCCGCTCTACAACGTGAACTACCTGAAGAGCACCGACGATGACAGGAGCCACGACCTGATGCTGCTCCGCCTGTCGGAGCCCGCCCGGATCACCCACGCCGTGAAGGTCCTGGACCTGCCCACCCGGGAGCCAGAAGTGGGGAGCACCTGCCTGGCTTCTGGCTGGGGCAGCATACAACCGGACAAGTGTAGGTCTGCCCAGACCCGCCACCCGCCGGGGCCCGAGGCAGGAGCCTGGCCGGTTCTGGCTACAGTCGTGTTTTCCCCTGGCCCCTAGTCTTGAGCCCAGGGACTCTCCAGTGTGTGGACCTCAACCTCATGCCCAATGACATTTGTAGTAAAGCCTATTCTGAGAAGGTGACAGACACCATGCTGTGTGCTGGGCGCTGGCAGGGCGGCAAGGACACCTGTGGGGTAAGCTCGCCCCTCCCCCAATCTCCTATGGGAAAGGAACGGGAGGACCCCACTTCTAAGCTGTTGGTGATCTGCCAGCCCCGAGTGCAAGACGGGGCTTCCCAGGCAGAAATTGGGCTGACCTTTCTCTCTCTCTGTCCCTCCAACCCCTAGGGTGATTCGGGGGGCCCGCTCATCTGTAATGGCATGCTGCAAGGTCTCACGTCATGGGGCAGTGACCCCTGTGCCGTGCCCCAACAGCCTGCCCTGTACACCAAGCTGAAGGCTTACCGGAAGTGGATTGAGGACACCATGGTGGCCAACCCCTGAGTGCCCCCGCCCCATCCCTACCCTTAGTAAAATGGAGTGCTCACCGAGTTCTGGTATCTTCCCACCTTTCTAGACACAGGGCACCTGGATGCTCAGAACTCACCTGGCCGAAACTAGAGCCTCCCCATCACTGCTGACCTGGGTCCTAAGGTGTGGTCAGGGCTGCGAGGAAAAGGAAGAGGCAGACATAGGTGTCCCCAGTGGTCCTCGGATGGGTGGGAGTGTCTGTCCTCTGCTCCCCTGAGAACACTGACGGTGTCTGCAGGCATCTTCTCACACAGCTGCCCGGGGACACACAGAAGGAGGTGGGTGGCTGTGGCACGCGTGTGATGGAGAGATGGGGCAGGCTTGGGTCCACCCTTGGAGAAGACCGTGAGGCACTGAGCAAAGTCTGGAAGCACAGGGCACCGGCACACACTCACAGCAGGGTGCCACGAAAACATCACCTGCTTCATCCTGGGGCGTCCGGGAGCCTGAGGAAGATGCGAGCAGAGAAGGGAGGGTCCCCCCGTGTCATGGAGGACTCACGGGGTGACAAGAGGCCTTGGAAGCTGATCCAGTATGGGGGAGGGTGTCCGTGGTCCCCCAGACCACCCTTGGACTCAGCGATTTTGTAGCAGGACTCAGAACTCAGAAGAGCCACGGTGCTGTGGTGTCCTGTGGTTCTTTACGGTGCAGAATGCAGAGGAAATGCTCACCGACTGGAGTGTGGAGGGGACAGGGCAAACCCCAGCTGTCCTCTCCCAGTTGGGTCTTGTGGACAATGATGTGTGACAGCACCGACAGAGTATTTTCAACGAGGAGGGCTCCCCTGGGCCTTCGTATCCAGCGTTTTTATTGGCGTCTGTGCAGCAGGCTGGGAGTCCTCACCTGGCTGACCCCACTCACCCCTCCCCAGTCTCTCCAGGGCCAGGCATTTGCCCCAAATCACATTGTTGGCCTGAACCGTCTGGCCTGGTACAAGGCCAGCTCTACTAAGGTCCTCTCAGGCAGAGAATTCCAAGGCTCCTGGGGTTGTCCCCAGAAAGCCACTCAAGGGAGAGTCCTTGATTTGGAAGGTGCAGGAACCCAGCACCTTCAGAGTTAGCCTTCCAAGGCAGGGGGTGAGGAAGAGGCGGGAGGAGACAGCCCTGTGCGCGGGTCTGCTCTTGTGACCGAGTGGACCAGGGAGCTCCTGGGGATGGGGAGTCCAGGGTAGTAGCAGGTTCGAGGGAAGACGGAGCTCGCTGAGGACGCAGTGTGGTCTCATTTGCTTTCTCCTCACACTGTGAGTGGGTGGGTGGGACTTCCGCCCCAGGAGGATGGCTGGACACCCGGGATGGACAATAGCGCCTTCCTCACAGGTCTTCACAGCCCAGGGAGGAGGACACACACACTGTGCAGGATCACTTGGGGACTGCACTCAGAGTCAGACAGCGAGAGGGACTGTGGGAGTCAGGCTGTGCAGTGACAAGGGCGTGGGGGAGCTCTGGTTCCCACAGCAGGTTGGGATTCCACAATCTCGGGGGCTGGCAAACCCACTGCGGCTTAGCCAGCTGGAAGGGAAGGCGGCCTGGGGGGGCCTTTGTCGTCTGGTGCAGGGCAGATCTGGCAAGAGCTTGAGATCTGTGCTCCTTTAAGGCCTCCCGTTACATGCACCAAGTCAGGCACCCGTGACGCCTGCCTGAGACAGCTCCCCTACACGATGTGTCTGATTGTCCCCAGGTCCCCCCTCCGCCAAGACTCCAAGGAATGAAGCCACAATTGTAACCCGCGAGGAAGCCCGTCACGCTGCGGAAGAGCTGCATTATTTTTTTTTTTGTTGAAACAGAAGAAGTCTGGGTGTAGAAAGGGACATGAAGCATGGGGTGTGGGGTGCTCTTGAAAGGACCTTAAGGCAGAATTTGTTGGTAGGAGCTGATTAAGAAGAGAGTCTGCGTTTCGTCTTGCAGCTCTGGGGGTAGAAGGGCTCTAATAGTTTGGTTGGTGGAAACAGGGACCAAAAGGTGACCTGTACTAACGAAGACCGAGATGCTAGTCTTGCCTTGATATACCCCAGAGGAAGGGACCTAAATGCTCTGGAGATTGGCGTGTGAGGGCGGGTTTGCTCTCTAAGACCTGCCCACTGCCCTGAGCCTCAGGGCCTCCCAAGTCCCGGAGCCATCAGAGCTGCCCAGGAGGACTCTGCACATGGTGGTTTGTCCCCCTGGTGAGGACCCTGACCTTGAGACTCTGTAAGGGAGGGGCTGCCAGCCAACCTGCCCAACTTGTCCTGAGGGAGACACTATCTTTATTGTCTTGAGAGCCAAACAGAACTGCTCCAAGGGGCCTATTGTATTTACTGTCCTGGACATGAAGCACAGCACTTCTGGGGACACAGGATTCTTATCCAGGACAGCAAACAAAGCTGCTTTGGCGGAGATGACTGTGTGCGAGACTGCTGGCTGGACAGTTTTGGACAGCCGTCTCCAGCCCTGTTGATGCCTGTGCTCTGAGACACAGAACCATGAGAGAGACTCGTGGAGAACTGCCCCCAACACATTCAGCTCCTGTCCTCCTCCCTTCTCCGCAGGAGAACCTTGTCCACCTTCCCGTCCTCCTCATCCACTACATGTGTGTTCCCCCAGCTTCCCCAGTGTTCTGGGCCCCGGGGGTGACCGTGGCAGGGGCAGGTGGCCACCTGATTTGGATGTGAAACCCTGCCCCACTGGTGGTACGTGGTGCCTTGGCCTTCAGGGGCCATTTCCATGTTTCTCCATGGAGGCTCATGGTGCCGGAGGGAGTGGGGGGCCAAGGGGTCCCTGCCTGGCAGAGGAATCAGAGGATAGGGAGAGGGCATCAGAGAGGGCAGAGGGGCTCATCCCACAGGCCACAGCGGGGCTGTGGGGAGGCCCTGCTTTTCTTCCAATGAGCTTGTTAAAGACCCCCGTCCAATGAAAGACCCCCGTCCAATGAAAGACCCCCGTATCCCTGTCCAAGGAGAATCACACGAAACACTGGCTGCAAAAGCAAGAGGTTTAGATTTATTGGGACACAGGCGCCTGCGGGTGCCCAGCAACCTCAGCCAGAGCTTTGGTGAACTGGCACACCGGGCTTGGGGATACAGAGATTTTTACAGGGTTTAGGACAGGTTTCGCGCGCGGGAGGCAACCGGTTTCTTATTGGTTTCTTTAAATCTAGCATACCCACAGGTTTACATTCCGTTGCTTATCTGTTCTGGTTTATTCATGCATGCCCCAGGATGTGGGTGCTCTGTTCTTCAACCGGTTGTCTGGAAAGCATGCCTGGCGCCTGAACCTGTTTATGGGGTGCCTGGTATCTTGGTTTCATATCTTGGCTTTAGGTAACTGGGCTAACTGGGCTAGGGTCTTTCAAGCTCACTGGTGGCTGGTGCCGGGCAGGAGCACTTGGGTTCTGACTCGGTGTCACCAGCTCCTTCTGGTGTCTGCGTGGAGATCAGAGAGCTGGGAGGGCTCAGTGCCAGGGAGGGAGTGCAATGGGCCGACCTGAGTGGAGGCCCCTGGTCCTGTCCCCACTGGAGCCTTCTCCCACCTTCCTCACAGGCTCCCGGCCTCAGGCTCTCAGCCTCTACTGCATCCCCCATGCGGCCCCTGCTCACAGCCCTCCGTGGCTCCCCAGTGCCTCCTGTGAGGTGATCCCTGGAGAGGGGAAGGTCTGCTCCTTCCCTGTCTTTGGGGACTGTCCTTCTGGACCCTGCCTCCCTGTGCAGGAGCAGGACTCTGAGGTCCTCACCCATTTGCCAGGACTCCGCCCACTGTCCTTCTGCTAGAATTCCTGCCTGCCTTCGGGAGTGGGGGGAGTGGGTTCGGGGGCGCTTACAGGCGGAAACTCACCTTCGGGCTCTCTCATTCTCTCTTGCCCTCCCAGGGTGACTCTGGGGCCTGCTGGTCCAGGCTTACACTCCCCACCCCCAGGCAGCCCAGCCTGGTCCCCTCTCTGCATGTGGCTGCAGCCCACTGGGTCTCCCTCCCACCTCCATCCCCAGCTGGCCAGGTGCAGCCCCAGGGCCCAGCTCTCACTGGGAACTCCGAAGGATCTGGGCAAGCAAATAAGTTGTCCTGCCATGGTTTCTTGGACACTAGCAGAGCACGCCAGCCCCTGGTCAAAGGCCCTTGCACTCGGGGCCTGCAGACAGTGGGAGCTGCCTGTTCTCCGTCTCTCAGGGAAGGGGCTGCCAGGGAAGGGCTGCTGGCCAACCTGCCGAGTGTGTGGCCCACGGGCAGCTCCTATCTTGTTATCCTGAGCACACACAGACCTGGTCTAGAGCAGCGTATTGTATTTGTTGTACTGAACAATAAACACGCCTGCTGTGAGAAGCACATTGCTTGCAAGAGTGCTGGCCCAGCATCCCGGACACAGTCCAGAGGACACTGGTTCGTTATTTCTCTGAAGCCACATAGAATTTCGAGAGACCCATGGGGGTTTCTCTGCCCACATCACTCAGCTCCCACCCCGCCTTCCTTGCAGGACACCCTCACACCGGGCCCTCAAGCTCCGAGTGCATGATGAGCCCTCCAGCCTCACCAGGCTCCAGGCCCTTCCCAGTGGTGGCAGGAAGAACGTGGGGACTGGGTCTGCAGGTGCGAGTCCTGCCCCACTGGTGGTGTTGACCTTGGAGGACGTATCCATGCAGCACAGTGTGGGGGGTCATGACCCTTCAATCTTGAAAAGCCCCTCTTTGGTGTATGTGCATTTGATTCTGTGTGTGTGTTTGTGTGTGTGTGTGTATACACGTGTGCATGCACATACCACCCACGTGCATGGACCATACCCCCATAGGGGAAACCTGACGAGTGACCTTCGACATCGAGTATGACTGAGGGCCTGACCTGGCGATGGACGAGTGCTTCCTGTCCCTGTGCCCTGTGTCTCCAGGGTGTGCCTTTCACCGTCAGTGTCCAGCTCTGCTCCTGGAGGTTCCTAGGCTCTGGCCTGGTGGGTCCTATCTGAATGTCTGGTCTCGGGCCTGGGTCTGTGGTTCTGAGTCACCACTCCCTAAGTGGCTGTGTGGATGCAGGCCATTATTAACCTTGATCCTCTTCACCTGGTTCAGTGCATGTGTCTGACCTTTGGCCTTATTGATTTCTACAATGTGAATATAATACATATGTCCCTTAAATAATGAAGCGCCTTTGATTAAAATGACTAATGTTTATGAAGCAGTTATGATATGGCAGGCATTATCACACCCATCCAGATGTGTAAACACACACACACACATACACAGAGTTTCCCATGTAACCCTTGAGAGCCCCCACATAACAGAGGAGGAGATGGAAGCTCACTGTAGTCAACTGAGTTTCTCCAGGACTCAGAGCTGGTATGTGTGAACCCAGGTGGGTGGCCTCTGGGTGTGGCCACTGTACCGCCTCCGTCTCGGGGGCCTGAGGGCACCTTGGCGTCTCTCTCTGTGCACCTTAGTAAGACCTTCCCTTGCATGTCCAGGTCCTGTGTGTGGTGTGTGCCTGGTGACATCAATGTCCCGACCACAGTGGAGGCTGGATGGGGTCTGTGTGTGTGTGTCCAAGTCCTAACTGTCCATCTGCATTCCCTGGTGAACATCCGTGCTGGTTATTGGAAGTGCCACCTGACACCCACCAAACTCACATCCTGCCCCATTCCAACCACAACCTCATCTCCACCGACTCTCAGCTCCTATCCCACTCCCAGCCCCATTCCATCAGCGCTTAGAGCGCTGTCCTTGTCAGAGCCTAAGTGTGCAGGTCCAGTTGTCCATAGCTGACTACGGCCACATATGTGACTTCACATGACACCGAGTTTGCTGAGATGCACAAACTCTGGGACCAAGCCCAGGTTGTACACGCACTGAGTGCCACATGCTTTTTGTATCTGTGACCCAAGGATGGCCTTGAAGCCTGACTCCCAGTGGCCACCTGCTGAGCCCACTAAACCCAGTGTCCTCATCTCCGTCCCCCAGCACAGAGAGCCTCTCACCCTCTGGTCCTTCCCCTTCCTCTGTCTTCCAGGGACCATAGAGCAGGAGATGGGGGGTGGACAGCGAAGAGGGAAACAGTTCCGAGAAAAGACAACAGCCATTATGAAACCCATCAGGGCTTCAAGGGCTGCTGGAGCAG